AAAAACTACAAGCTAAAATCTTCTAAATGAAACCATGCCAAATTGTACTGTAAACTCAAACAGACTTACTTACGTGGTTTCAGACACTGTATGGCTACTGTTATCCATAAATATAAGCAAAAGTGCAGAATTGCTGCTACTTCTGTTTTTAGCTGTAATATTATGTTATACAGTGTGAAAATCACATGAGCAAATCTACTTTTTAAAGTCAAAGACCACTCTTTTTTCATTTCCAGTCAAATCGTCATTAAGTACGAGTTATTTTTCAGTGTCAGGAAAAAACAGAAAACATATTTAACAAAAAAGTACACAAAAGCCTTCAACACTAAGTATAATTTCAAATCTATCAGTATTTAATTGGTCCACTCTTCATTTTTATGTACTTTAACTCTTCCATCCTTACACTCTTAACAACAATGAGCTGTGTCCATCCCAATAAAAGCTGTTTCCAAAGGATTTACTGATATTCTGTTCCCCTTCAGATTTTTTAAAAACTGATAGCAAGTCACTTGAAAAGAATGGAAGCTATAGTACAGGTGAAGGGTGGACACACTAAATACTGAAAAATATGATTTATTTAGTTGTTGAGGCTTGTGTGATACTTTTTTGTTAAATATATGTCAATATAAGCTGAAAAATGAATAGCTTGAATAGTTAGGTTGCCATTTTGACTGGAAATTAAATAAATGCAAGAGTGATCTCTGACTTTTGCACAGTACTGTAGGTATGCAGGTTGCACAGTGCTGATTTGTAGGGTATAGCTAAGCTTCCATTACATTTTAGCCATATCTTCACAGCTCCAGTATAAAACTAAAGAAGCAAACTTCAGACACCAACCATGGCTTGGTTCTGACTGATAGAAATATGACATAAGGGAGGAAAAATTCTGTAAATATGATTTTTCATCAAACTATTCCTTTTAACAGCACTGTGTTATTTGAAATAGCTCCACACAGCTCGCTGCGATAGATCCAGGTATGTCTCTCACCCTGAGCTGAGAAGCACTGGGGGCAAACCTAGAGCCATAAAAAGGAAAATCAATAACATCACATTCGCTCGAGCGTCTCACATGGGAGAGCAATTTCACCACATATTCCGCTTCCACACAGCTGGCTGGCTCCTCTCCCCCAACTCCACTTCTATTACAGACCTCTCCCTGTATCTCAGTCATAACACAGCATAATAAGAAAAAACTGATGATATTTGTGGTTTCTTGTAATTACACTTGCCAGAGATGTATATCCATACGTGCAGTACGACCGCATGGGGTTCAATTTTTATACCAAAAGAAAAACTACTGCAGGATATTTTTTTTTTACTTGCTCTCTCTCTTACACTATCTCTTGTCCACCTTTAGGGAAAAAAACGACTGAGTTAGGACCAGAGTTGGGACCAGAGTTGGGTATGAAACAGTGTTATGTAATCATGATGCTAAAAAACGGTTACAGTACAGAAAAAAAGACAGTAATAAGATTACAGATACATCATAAAAACAGGCTGACTACTAGCAGGATAATTAAAATCACTCTTACACACAGCACTCCTGGTGATTTTCTTTCCAGCTTTCATATCAACAAGCTAAATTTGACTGTTAAATGCAGATTTTATTCTGAATTTTCTTTTCTTTCGTGAGAGTTTAATTACCTGCCACAGCACACTGACTTCCTCTAGCACATGAAAAAGAGAAATGTAACTTAACAATCACTTCATCAGTGTGGAGAGATAAACTCTCACAAAAGAAACAATCTGTTTATTATGGCGATGACGTTAACTTATAATTGATGCACCCAAGTTAAGCTCAGTTTTGCTTCTTTCATGTGGTAGATTTCACTTTTCTTCCACAGTTTTTATTGTTGTTGTTCATTGTATTGATGTAAGTCTGTATTCTTTCTGGAACAATGTAAGTTATACATTAAAAATGAAGTTATATCTGATCAGCTCATTTTGAAAAACATGGCTCGGCCATGAAATCCATGTCATTTCTGTGAGTGCAGTTTGAAAGGTGTTTTTTTTGGGGGGGCCCTCCAACTTGCTAGCTAATGTACTGTAAAATTACATGCTGACTAATAACAATGACCACATGCTGTCTAAAACAAATATATTTATAATATTTTTGTTTTACTGATGATTGGATGCTCATTTGGGATGCTCTAAAAAGTTACAAATTAAACTACAGATAACCTTCTCAGGAAAATGGATCTGGGGTCTGTCTCAGCACACAGTATTTCTTGCTCACCCAGCTAACTTTAAGCTTAGTTCAGTCAAACTCTGGTGGCAGTCGCCATGTAGAATGCTTTACTTTCCACATATTTAGGTAGTATGAGTATTTTTTCTTTGGCAACTCCTCACTAGCAACTTTTCCTCATGTTTCACGTAACTGGCTATTCATCATAAACATCACGCTTTCTTGTGCATGGGCAAGAGGATTAATCACAGCCTGAGTATCTAAACCTGGATTAAGTGCAGCCTGAGTATCTAAACCTGGGTTTACCACAGCCTGAGTATCTAAACCTTTCTAAAAGTTTCTAGAGTTTACTCAGAATGATGAAGAAAAAAAGGAATCCAGTGAGTGGGAGTTCTGAGGACAGAAACATCTTGTTGATGACAGAGGTCAACGGAAAATCACCAGACTGGTTCAAGCTGACAGAAAGGCTATGGTAACTCAGATAACCACTCTGTGCAATTGTGGTGAGCAGAAAAATGCACAACACATTAAACCTGAGGCAGATGGGCTACAACAGCAGAACACCATGTCGGGTTCCACTTCTGTCAGCTAAGAACAGAAAGCTGAGGCTCCAGTGGGCACAGGCTCACCAAAACTGGACAGCTGAAGTCTGGAAAAACATAGTCTGGTCTGGCAAACAGATGCTAGGGCCAAAATGTAGCGCCAACAGCGTGAATCCATATACCCAACCTGCCTTGTGTCAACAGTCCAGGCTGGTGGAGGTGGTGTAATGGTGTGAGGAATGTATTCTTGGCACACCTTGGGCCTGTTCATTCCAATCATCACTTGAATGCCACAGCCTATTTGAGTATTGCTGCTGACAGTGTGCATCCCTTCATGGCCACAATTGAGCTGCTATTTCCAGCATCATAACGCACCATGGCACAAAGCAAAAGCCATCTCAAACTGGTTTCATGAACATGATAATGAGTTTAAAGTTCTTCAGTGGCCTTCTCAGTCAGCAGATCTGAATCCAATGCATGAAAGTGCATCTGAAATATCTGCAGCAACTGCATAATGCAATCATGTCAGCATGGACCAGATTCTCAAAGGAATGTTTTCAACATCTTATGGAATTCAGATTTGAGACTGTTTTGAGAGTAAAGAGAGGCCCTATCCAGTATAATGTTCCTAATAAAGTGCTGAGACCTTGTTGGCTGCTGAAAACTATTTATTTTAGGGGCATTTTTAAAAAATCCATTTTATTTCAAATGTTTCCTTTGGAAATAAATTCATACACAGGCACTGACTTTATTATATATCTCTTTGTAACTTCAAGTATTTAAGCATAAGCCTCTAGATTATATCTAAGATTAAATTGGCTAAGATTATGAAATACATAGGACTCTAGTAGAGAGCATCTTTGTTAAGGCCAAGACAAGTGAAAGACTATGACTAAACGAGTGCTAAGACTGAGTCTAAAGGGGGCAGAGACCACGTTAAGACAAAGACCAAATGAGAGTGACACCAAGACCATAAAGGTCAAGAATAAAAAAGTCAAGATCAAGACCCTAAAAATATAGTCCCCCTGGTGGCCAAGCCTTAACTAGTCTTTGATGGCTTTCAGTCCAAATGCCTGGCCTTTTTACATTTTTTTGTTGAGTCATTGCAACCATTCTAAAGCTTTTTACTTAACTGTTTAAATGAAAGTATATAATTATATAATCTATTACATAGTAATATAATGAATTACATTAGGGCTGCCAAGAACAGTCGACGCAAGCAATGATTAAAAAAACATAGATTTTTAAACAATGCAACATTTTAAAATAAATTAATTCAACTTTTTGATGTCTTAAATACTTTAATTCAGATTACAAATGCTTTTCCTGAAATATACTATGTAATTGCTGCATGCATGACGTCAGTCGTTTTTGGCTCCAGTCATTGGTCAGCTCCATTCAATGCTACAACTTTTAAAAATTATGGCGAAATAATGCAAAAGAAGTTTCTAAAAGTTGTCTGCCTGCTACTGTAGAGCCTCCTTTGAATAAGTGAAAATGTTTAGGCTACAATCTGGGCTTATTCCATGCTGACTGACAGTGACAGTGTGTGTGTTCTTGCATGTTTTTGCTTGATGGGACAGTTATCTAAGTATTTTATTTCTGGCATTACTTTAAGAACAATTCTTTGTGTAGGGAATGCCATAATTAGATTTTTTGGAGGAAAATTAATCATTTAGATGGTAAAATGGTAAAATGGTAGAGAGATTAATCAATAGAAAAATAGTCATTAGTGGTAGCCATAAATTACATCTGTATTCAATTTACCTTCTGTATTCACAGGTTCGGGTCTGCACCTCGAATCTGAATCTTTTCCATTTGTTCTGATGTTAGAGATTGACACAAACATGGCAAAATATGCGGAGTAGTTTTTCTTTACACAAAACAAACAAGATTAGTTTTACATCATGTTCAAATCATAATAAATCATCTCATCTACTTGTAAACACAAACGTGGCAGTTTTCTAATCCATTTGGCTAAATCAAACACAGACATACGCAACTATTGGATTCTGTGCAGCTTGAATACAAGTCAGTGCACATTACTGACAGTTAAAGAAAGAAAATACAAATAAATATCATTTTTGTAATAATAGCTGGATTCAGACAGGACCAGAAACTAAATTTGGCGAAACCAATGGTCGAGACCAATACCAGTCTGAGACTTGAGAACCACAGCACTACATTCACAGAGGTGTGCCCACATTTTTTGACTGGTCATGAACATTCCAACTTAAAAAACACATTTTAGCTCAAACGTTCCCAAACTGTACCTGCCATGGTTGAGATGCCGAAGATCACTCCTATGGACAGCTCGATCTGTGTTCCCTGTAAACAAAGGCACCTGTGATTAGTTTAAGAAGATTCAGGTAAACTGACATAGACTCATCAAAAGCCTTCTTTGTGTGAACTGACTGTGGTGTGGAACATCCTGTCGCTCCACTAGAACCGTCATGATGAGTGCAGCTGAAGTGCACACATTAAAATTGAATGGTTCAAGTCTGAAGAGAAGCACTTCATACTGACTCACAATAAGTGAGGCTTGTGCAAAAATGAGCTTGAAGAGCTGTGCTGAATAAAGACAGATAGCTGTGACATTAAGTGCTCAGAAAAAGGTTTCAGGCCTGAACTTGAGGGCTTTATCTGACCTGAGAAAAACCCATGAGACCACCTGCTGGGCTCAGCTCAGCCTGAATGCACCTCTTATCAGCGTGTGGCTAAGGCCTTTTCAAAAGCTTGAGAATGAATGTGTCTTTCATTTTAACAGCCACAAGCAGCTTATATTGTATTTCTTTTTCACACAACCACAAGCAGCTAATTGGCTAAAATGCCGCCTTTTCCCTTCAATAATAAATGGAACTTACTGCAACAATCATGATGGCATTGTCCAGGAAGCCGAAGCCAATGAAGGGGATAGCATTGTGGAGCAGCACTGGAAGAGAAAACAGATCAATCAGACTATAATGGATAAAATAAGAAGAGCTTCAATAACTGCTGTGAAAACAACACAATACTGGACAATTGCACAGATAGGCTTCCATCCACCTGTTTTTATGTGTACTTCGTAGGACTGCCAAACGATTGCAACAAATCATACTGTGTAGCTTAATTGCTATTAATTGCATTTATTTAGTTTAGCTTGACCCCAAAGAAAGTATTTGTCTAATTTAAAAAGCAGTGCATATTGCTATAGCTATGTGAGTTATTTCTTAGCTTGATTTATCCATAGGTCTCCGGTATAGCGTCCAAAAGTTGTCCTCTGATGCTGATATTAGTGATATAACTAAGCTGTGTTTGGCTTGCTTAACAATATTTTTTAGTAACAAATTCACCATAGCAGTGGCTGGAAATAACTTCAAGAGAGCCATCACTATCAAGAGAGCCATGAATGGCCATTTAAAAGCTGTATTTGTACATATTTGACATAGAAACGTTCAGCATGCAAGCAGTCGGAACAAACAGCTTAAAACAAAAGTAACTGATGAAAACGCATATCATAAAACGGTTTTAATTTATAATAATAACTTAAAAAATAAACATCATATTATGTTTTAGAAGCTATTCATGCAAAAACCCAGATTAGTCCAAAGGGTTCACACAACTGTACAATACAACAGTCAATAGTTTGACAGAAGAAGAATGTTTAGCATTCATGGAGCGGAACAACTCATTAAAACTGGACATGCTGCAGAGGCCACTCCCTTAATACCCAGCAGGATGAACTCTGAAGCCCACCATAATGACCACAGCACTCTTCAATATCCTCTTCAAATGAGTGTGCTCAAAGAGGCTTAGAGCTTAAATATGGAGGCCACTCAAGAATGAGGTTCATGGCTAAGCTTCTTGTTGGGTTGCTGCAGCTCATTAGAGATGGAGGGAGACTACAATATGTTATCGGTTTAAACTGTGATGTAGTAGAGCCATTTTTTTGAAGAGTACATGACAAACTACAATTACAACTCAAGATCTCTAAGGGTTAAGTGGAACATTTTTACTATATAAAACTCCTTTCTAATGGTACTTTTCCACCGAGCATGCATTACTTTTTTCTGAGCTGGAATGTATGGGTGGAGATAGTGGAAATAGTGCATCTATTAGCCTATTGATTAGCCAAACATGGCAGTTACAGCACTGTACAGACTGTGTATCTTCAAAATGAGTGGAAAAACAGACGTTTTAGGTAAAAATGGTAAAGGGAAGTAAAGAAGGGCTTTTATTTAAACTAGCCTTTGGACTAGGGATGTTAATGATTAACCGATTAACTGTTAACCAGATAATCAACCAGATAAACAAATGTTCTATCAATGCTTTTGGTTAAAAAGTTTAACTTAAATGTAATTTCCAGTGAACATCTGATATTTGACTATACAAGTTTTCACTGAACTTGAACTTGAATTTGTTTTTGAATTGAGGGAGCAAGAGTGCAGCTCATTAAGGTAGTCCTACTTCGTGAAGCACAAGTTTTTCTACGCCTTCTGCTCGAGTGGATGGAGCTGGCCAAGAGTTGACCCAGACACCCAGACATGCTGGAGTCTAAGACTGACCCCTGCTCATGTGGAAAGGTTGGTATTTCTCAACAAAAATGACAAATGGTATTTAGAACCATGACAGTTCTAAGGCTAAAACTGACTCTTTTTTTAAACATCACCTAGCTAATCACAGTTAGCCAATGTAGTCAGTCCATTGACAAAATTGCTTGAAAGCTGTACTGTGACACACTTTATGTAGACTGTTGTTTAAACTATGCATTTGAACTTTGCACTAGCCCCAGTCAGGCCATATATGTTTATTCATTCGGGCTAATAGAACATGGTATAACGTAGTAAGTAGACTACATTAGGTTACCATCATATCTGTTATATTAGGCTGCGTTTTTTCATTCATTAAAACCTAAAGCCTTGTGCAGTGCTATGTTTGATGTTTTCATTGGTCATGTCTGTGATTTTAAGTTTGTCAGTTAACAAGCAGCATTATGCTTATGTGCGCATTAAAACAAGTTATGAGCTGGAAAGTGATAGAGGTTTGGCAAACAGTATTCCGGGTTGGTCTTTCTTTGCACTCACATCCAACTTTGTCAGCCATTTCACTGATGAGAAGAGAGGAACTGGCCTAGCTGAGAGAGGTGCAAGGCAATTTACAAAGAAATGTGTTTGTGGAATGTGAAAATGGGCACACATTTCCTCCCTCACACACACGCACACAGTCATGCATAAACACTTACCATATCTCAGCTGAGCTGCAGTTGGAGGAGCCATTTCCAGCTGCTCTGTAAGAAGAGAGAGAGAAAAAAATCCCCACGTCATCTCCTGAGACATAAATGCGAAGCGGGACCTTGGAGTCGTTTGTGGGCAGCAGGGCAAGGTGGATTAGACAGCTCTGACTGCACACTGGACCCTCCTGAGACAAATACACAGCTGAGCACACACAGAAGCTCAAACTAACCTGAGCTAAACAGATGCGTCAAAATTCAATATTGAGGTTAGCCAAATTACTTCTGTAATGAGAAAAACTGTTACTAAACACATACCTGGGTCAATATTACATCAGTGCTCACTGTAAATAATGAAAATTATTAGAATTAATCCAGAGACTGGATCACCCTTTAGCTTTAACCGAGCTGGGAGAATTTGCTTTTAGCTACAGTGCACCAGTTTGAATGTATTACAGCATTAAAACTACACTTGCTTGTGTCACTCGACAAAACGTTTAATCTCTAACCACCTCCACTCAGCCATATGTCATATGACACCATATGTCACTGTCATATGATCTTAGCTGGCTCTCCTCTTTTGTTAAGTTTTTATCTTACTTAATCATTCTAATTGATTACTTACATCTGACAGTTCTTTTTTTGGTATCTACTTATGTTAGTCAGTTCTAACTGTAATCTTTATGTATGTGTGTATGTATGTATTTATAGTACTGTGCAAAAGTCAGAGACCAAATGAGAGTCAAAATGACCATTACGTGCAAGTTCTCATTTTTCACTCATTTTTCAGCACCAAGGAAAAAAGAGTTTAAAAAAATATATATCTTTTTAAATTATAGCAATGCCTCTACAAAAAAATATAATATCAAAATTTTCAGTATGTTACACTTTGCCTTACAGTTTCTATTCTTTTTGGGAGACTCACTTTCAGTTTTTCAAAGAAATCTGCAGGGATATTTGTCCACACCTCCAAAGTTCAGTCTTTGACACACAAATTCAGTCATGTTGAGGCATGTTGAGCTCAGCAGCCTCTACGTCTGATTTGCAAATTCTGTTCTTTTTTTTGGTCTATTTTCTTTTCTCAGTAACAGCTTATATCGATCACGCATAACATTATGACCTTGTTTCTACACTCATTGTCCATTTTATCAGCTCCACTTACTATATAGGTGCATTTTACTTTGTAGTTCTACAGTTACAGACTGTAGTCCATCTGTTTCTCTGCAGACTTTGTTAGCCCCCTTTTACCGTGTTCTTCAGTGGTCAGGACTCCCACGGACCCTCACAGAGCAGGTACTATTTGGGTGCTGGATCATTCTCAGCAATGCAGTAACACTGATGTGGTGGTGGTGTGTTAGTGTGTGTTGTGCTGGTACAAGTGGATCAGACACAGCAGTGCTGCTGGAGTTTTTAAACACCTCAGTGCCACTGCTGGACTGAGAATAGTCCACCAACCAAAAATATCCAGCCAACAGCGTCCTGTGACCACTGATGAAGGACTAGAGATTGACCAACACAAACTGTGCAGCAGCAGATGAGCTATCGACTCTGACTTTACATCTACAAGGTGGACTGACAAGGTAGGAGTGTCTAATAGAGTGGACAGTGAGTGGACAGAGTGTTTAAAAATTCCAGCAGCACTGCTGTCTGATCCACTTAGACCAGCACAACACACATAACACACCACTACCACATCAGTGTTACTGCAGTGCTAAGAAAGATCCACCACCCAAATAGTACCTGCTCTGTGAGGGTCCATGGGGGTCCTGACCACTGAAGAACAGGGTGAAAGGGGGCTAACAAAGTATGCAGAGAAACAGATGGACTACATCTACTAAGAGCACCTATACAGTAAGTGGAGCTGATAAAATGGACAATGAGCATAGAAACAAGGAGGTGGTCATAATGTTTTGCCTGATCGATGTATAGGCAAGTGTTGAGTTGTCTTGGACAGAAGCACATGTGGATTGTTTCAGACGTAAAGCAAGAGTGGAGCTTGATTTTCTTCTCTTTCTCAAAGATGAAAGCTTTTTTGATGGTCTATCATGTATTTCATGGTTGTTATTTTCTTAATATATCTTTTTAAAAGAATTTATTAATTTCAAAATTAATATTTTCAGTTTTGAAAGCTCCTGTTTTTTCATTTATTTTCTTCTGTCTCACCCTTTCTTTAAGCAATTAGATTTTCTATGTAATCTCCTCAGAAATATCAGCTGAAAATGAATAACTTGTGCTTAATTACTGTTTTGATCTTTATTTCTTATTTGTTTCTATTTTTATGTAATAATTTTCTGATCACTTAGTTTTGATAGTCTTAGTTTGACAGTCGAGTTCACAACTCTGAAAGCGAAATACCTCTTTGTGTGCAACCTCACACACCATGCTCTAGATGAGGGGTGGTGAACTAGAGTCCTGACTAGAGTCCAGCAAAGTTTGGTGATTTTCCTACTCAGACATGCCTCATTCCACTAAGTAGCCCACTGCCAGGTTTCAATAGTGTGTTAAGAGCAGGAAAATCACCAACTATGCTGGACGACCCCGAGGACTGCAGTTCGCCACCTCTGCTCTAGACAGAGAGGGTGAAGAAAACATGTTATTACAAGGAGTAGTTTCTGAGGAAAAAAAAGACATCAGACAAAGGGCCACATTACATCTAAGTAGGGATAAGCAATACGACAATATTCTATGATTACTGTAATAAATTATGTCAAAATACGTTTTTCTGAGTATATCGTGGACATCGTCAGTACTTAAAGAACAAAGAAACACACATGAGAGCATAATTAATCCTGTTTAACCAGATTTACTTTAGCACAGCATGTAAATTGTTAAATAAAAATCACCGTATTAATAGTTTTAATAATATTTTTGTGGCACTACTGGCTCTTTTTTCTCTTTTCAAACTTATCAAACCACAGAAAAACTGAACATAATGATTCATACTGTGTATTGTGATATATGTTTGCCATATTCCTCTACATTATAGTGCTCCTCCTATTCGATATGAGAAATTTTTACAGATCAACCTAAGGTTGATACAGAAAACCATCCCACTTATGGGCATGGATTTTACAGGAGGACAGTATCTAATATCTATCTTACAATATCTGGCTTATATGGGGCATCCTGTTTCAGGAAACTTAGTCGGTCTGCACAACATGAAAACACAGGATAAACTGTGCTCATTCCAGCCAATCCAGGTCTCCACACTGCAAAGACTTGACAGGTAATAAATAATGTATACCTGAGACCGGCCACTTTATTTGAAACACCAACCTTCCCCTCACTGGCCAGTTTATGAGCCCCACTTACTTTATAGGTCCACTACATAGGAGCACAATTACAGACTGTAGACCATATGTTAATGCACAATTTATCATTAAACACTCTCTAATCCATTTATCATTGGTCATTTTCTGACCACAGAACTCAACACAGAAGTGACACTGAAGTGGTAGTAGTATGGTAGTGTGTGTGGTGCTGATTTGAGTGCATCAGACACAGTGCTGTTTCTCGAGTTTCTACACACTGTCACTGCTAGGCTGAGAGTGGACCGGCACTCAAAAATATCCAGCTAAGAGAACTTTTGTGGTCAGAAACTGGGGCTGGGTCATTCTAATGAAACAGCCTCAAACTATGTTCCTAAACGTTTGGGTGTCACAATCATCACACAAATAAACAATATTCTTAAAATTTAGTAGATCAACTGGAGCTCTATGTGGATCAGCCAAAAGTTAAATCATTCACGTTTCTATTGTAAAGTTTTTTGGCATTCTTTACCACAATTCTGATTACTGCAGTGTTTGTTTTGCATATTTATTTATTTATTTATTTATTATATATTGGATACTGGGGTGCTGTGCCTCTAAACGACACCCTGACATCCAGCCTGCAGCTTATAGATTAAGAAAAGAAAAGCTGGAAAAAACATTGTTTACACATTTATCTTCTTGTCTTACTGTGTTGTAATGAGAATTTGGTCACTTATATTGGAAAATGTCACTGAAAATCAATTTAAAATCAACTGAATCGTTCAACCAGACATCCAAAACATTAAGCTTTTAAAATAATTTTTTCAAGTTGGGTCCCACTATTTGTCATGTTCATAAGAATAACCTAGCTAGAGGATATCTAACACAAACTGCCCACAGCAGTGGTCACCAACCCTCCTGAAGAGTTACTTCCTTGCAGAGTTCAGTTCCAACCTGCATGTAAAAAGCTGCCTCTGGTGACCACCGGTCTACAGTCTCCAACTGTATAACCAACAAGCTAGAGCCACAAGATAATACATTAACTACTAAGGGCACATACAATCAGTAATTAGTCTACAGTCTGTAGTTGTACTCCACCAAACATTTTTAGATTCTTTGTTACACAAATGCAGAAATATGAAGGAGTTTACTTTTAGTTCCATTTCCACATCTATGCACTCCTACACTGCAGGCCTACCACTGCTTTCTTCAGCCAAATTCACTGCAGGGGAGATGTCAGTACAGCTATGCTTAAAAAGATAAAAGATCAGAGAAGTTCAATATTCTTCAACTTTTTCTGCAAAAGAAAGGAGGTGCAGGCACATCTAACGAGAAGAATGAGAGATAAGCAGTTTTGGATCTCAGCACAGGCTGAATGAAAATCCAGCTATAAATAAGTTATGAACTAAGAATTCAGGCATTGTTTTTCATTAGAAGAGCCTTTCACAGACATAGCCTTTCCTACCAGAGAAGGCAGCCAGACATGCAGTCATCGTGGCAGCTTATGAAGTGTGTTTTCTGGTCAGCCACCCTCAAATTTATATCTGGATTTCACACACGGTGCAGCATTTTGTGAAAGCCTCAGTTCACACATATGCAGAGATAAAATTCATGTCACTTCAGGCAATATCATTCTTTTTGGCATCCCTATTGATCACTTTTATTCAAAACCGATTGCTCCCACCACAATATAGATTGTACTTATTCTGCTGTGGCCAGAGACTATCCATCATTAAGGACATGAGGCTTAGCCTACTCCATGCTGTGCATTTGTTGAGCTCCCAACCTCATGCTGATGCAGCCTCC